AAATTGATCATTCACTACCAAGTTTAAAAAAAATATCTGCAAGCACTTAAGGGCTCCTTGCTTCAGTAATAAAAAGCAACTGAGGAGAAATATAATGTAGGCAACCTAAAGAGGGAGAAGAACATTTCAATGAGGCTGTAAAATGGGGTTTGTATGAAGGTTAAACAGCTGCTTTGGATGGTCTCATTCTAACACACACAATTCGCTTCCATATGAATCCTAATATCACCCTTAAACTATATCCCAGCTCTCTCCCGACTCCTATTATGCTCCTGATGTAACTTAAATTCTACTCCAGATGTGTTTATTTCCTCACTCTTCCACTTTCTCTCAGTAGGATTTCATTCCATTGAAACCACCCTCACCAAGGTCACCAGTGATCTCCAATTTGCCAATTTATGTCATCTTTTTAGCCTTACTTGACCTCTCTTGCTCTCCTCCCCCAAACAACCTGTTTCCTTGCCTTCTGTGATGGAAACACTATGGTTTTCCTCCATCCCACGTGGCTGTTCCTTCTCAGTCACCTTTATGGATTTTCCTCTTCTACTGTCCACTGCTTACATGCCGGAGCTCTTCAGGCTTTTGTCCTAGGTTTTATTATTGTCAACTTCTTCCATTTACATGTACAACGTGGGGGATTTCATCCACTCCCATGACATCAGTAATCTGCTGACTCCCTTACTGATAAATCTAGGCCCAGTATACGTTTTGGACTTTAGGCCTAAATATCTAATCATCTATGAGACCTATCCACTTGGATCGTCCACAATCACCTAAAACTGAACATGCCCAGATTTGACTTCTTTATCCTCCCCTCCCTCACCCCAAGTCTTCCCCCCCTCAAATGTTTCCCTGCTTGATGGACGATACCTCCAGGCAGCCAGTTGCTCAGCCAAGAAACTTCCTGGTGCTCCCTGAGTCCTTCTCCCTCACTCCCCACAACCAAACGTCTGTCTTTTCTTCTACTCCCAAAATATTTACGAAGTCTGCCAACTTCTCTCCATCTCTACCAGTACTACCCTAGGCCACCATCGTTTTCCTTCAGAATTACTGCTACAGCCTCCTAACTGGTTTCTTCGTCTCCACTGTGTTCTCCTTCTAATCATTTCCCTACACTGCAGCCACAGTCATCTTTTTTAAAAGCACTCTCTCATTACACAAGTTTCTGCTTAAAATCATCCAAACACTCCCCATAACATAGTCAAGAAAACACAAACACCAGAATACAGCTGAAAGGGTGCTTTTTGCTCTGGTCCCTGCTAAATCCACCAATCTCATCTCCAGCTCCTTCCTCTGCTCCCCCCACTTCCCTCCACAAACCCACCATGCCGAAATGCTTCCATTCCTCACAACTTCCAAGTTTTCTAATGCCTCTGTGCCTGGATCTCTCCCTCATCTCTTCTAATCCTATTCATATTTAAGGCTTGAGCTTCTTGCATCCTCCAGGAAGCCCTCTTTGATTCCACCCACCTAAATCTAGATTAGGTGCCCATCTAATCGTCCTCCAAACACATAAGCACCCTGTGCTCCCCCATCGCAGTACTCCCCACACTCTTAATCTCCAACAGACTATATGGCCCCCGAGGGCAATAACCATGTTATATACCCACCAATTAGCACAATGCCTGCTACAACACTAAATAGTACTTGAGTGAATATTCATCTGGTCTTATTTAAATAATCAGCGAGAACCGAATGACCCAAAAGATGTGATGTAGGGCAGGAATCTCCATGTCTTCCAAACAAATATCACAGACAGAAGTCAGCCTTCAAACCTTCTCAGCTTCCACCTTAATTATCAGCTAATACCTTCTTAGCAAAAAACCAACTCAACTAGAACTAGAATAAGATAGTGTAGTATTCATGCTTTCCACAGACTGGACCCTCAGACATGTTTGAAAGGAGATGTCAGTTTGATGCTTGACCAAAGAAGAGAAAGGAATAAACGCATAAGGCAGCACGGTCTTATCGGGCTGCCCTGCATTTTTTTAACCAGTGGGACTCTCAACCCTCCTCTTGCCAAACTTTAGGGTGTGGCCCAGTTTGTAACCTGTGGGTTATAGGGAGCTAAAGCGATCATCTTTTTTTTCAGCAGAGAATGATTTAGGAATAGGAGCCCAGGTGTTCACTGTGTAACAGCAAAATGTAGAGGTCTTTGATCTCTACCTCCCTCCTTCCTTCACTCCTCCACTCTCAGCCTCTACCCCACTTTACTCCCTTACTCTCCTTTCCTCCTACTCAGTCTCCAATTGCCCCCCACCCAGTCACCCAGGCTTCCCCTAAACTCACATACATCATCACAGCCATTGCCAGGACACTCAGTTTAGGCTTTGAGTCAGCCCTCTTCCCAGCCCCACCCCTATCCACTCACAAAGCTTCTCGCTTTGTTTGGAGACACCAAATATTTAACAGAGACCTAAATGTAAGCATTAAAGAACTCCTCCAATAACACAAACACTTAATTAACTATCCTCCCCAGTAAGTGATGGTTAAGAGAAAGAGAAGGGCAAAATAATGCGTAAAAACTGCTGGAACAAAAATTTGTCTCCCGCTTAAAAAAGAAAAGCTCCCCTTCAGTTTTTTCCATTTTCATTGTTTCCTCTAGATCCAGGGCCTCCCACCAAACGCTCCCGACTGCCTGCTTCAAACTCTGCCACGTCAGCAGGGAGGGAGCCCGGCAGCGTTTGGTATTTGCATCAGTTTCCAGTTTACTCTGCGGAGATATGTTTCCTTTAGTTTATAAATGTGTGCTTGAATTTCTCGAATTCTCAAAACCTTGCTGAGCATTTTGTTATGCTAAAAGGGAAATTATAATCACATTTCCAAAAAATGTACTACAATTTCAAAAAGTCTTCTCAAGTTATCTTCCACGTCAGTGCTCTTAATTAGAATAAAAGGTTTCTTTATATATATTTATAGTTTTTGGTTGTTCTCTTTTATTTCAATTAACTTTGCTGTTTGTTTGTTTATAAGCTTAGAGGAAGCAACCAGTTTAAGAACATTCAATCCCTTTGGTTTACAGCAGCTGCTGATCGAGTTAGGCAGAAATTCTTCCTTAAAGTACGGGGTGGGGGGCAGGGGGGAAGGAGGAGCGGAGAGCTGGGGGAAAGAAAGGAAAAAAGATGAGCAAGGAACTACAGCCCACTCATTTCTGTTTGGTGGAGACAGAATTGACCTAAAGATGCCCCTTTTGCACTGACTTCTGGGAGAGAATGGCTGCCTCATTGCGGGTGCTGAGCAAGCAGAGGCACAGCCCGGACCGATGGCCTTTCCTCTGGACCTGGAATGCCATCTCAGAAGGGTTGGGGAAAGGGCCAGCCACTGAAGCTGACTGCACTCAGTATTCTAGATTCTCAAGAGTTCTGGCCTCGCATTTCCAAGGCCTCAGGGTCCTCTCCTCTCCCTGGTGGGGGGCAGAGAGTGGGAAGCGTCCTCAGGGGGAGAAGGAGCTCTCTCCCTAACGTGGGTGGTGGGGAGAGAACTAACACCCACGTTGGCGGGAGCTCCGCTTGAGGTGTTACCAGAGAAGACAGCCTGTATCCCAAACTCAAATTAGAAGTCCCTCTAGATGGCCTAGGCGTTTTCTCCAAGGTGTGGAGATCAGCTGGGAGGTGCTTGGGCGTTTTCCGTAAGTGTGGGGTCGGTGAATGAATGGGCAGAGAGGACAAAAGGGATAGCGGGCGGCGCCTCACTGGGGGCTTATCTAAATCTAGGCTCGGGCTGTAGCTGGTAAATCCAGACAAGGAGTCTGTGGAGAAGAGGAGGGGGAGACTGGAAACCCGAAGGGGAGGGCGTGGACTTTTCCACCGCAACCTCAGAAAGAGACTGCGAAGTAAGAAAGGAGTCCGTGTTGGTCAGTTGCAGTCACTTTGCAGGGCCAGATAATCCCCAAAGCCTCGGTTTAGAATCAGCCTCAACAGAGGGAAGCGAGGAGGTCGTATGATTTCCGCCGTGGCTCGGTCTAGTCTGGTGTGCGCAAAGCATATCCTCCCTGGTGCTGGATGCCACGCTGACCCTAGCCCTCTTCCCTCCCCACCCTCCCAACGGTGGGCGTCCTCGGACTCCAAGTAAACCCTCCACCGACTGAACCCCCCTCTCACCCTTTCCCGGAGCCAGAAGAGAGAGAGCGCATTACTGCTGAAAAAGTGGGCACACAGACGCCCCAGAGAGAGAGAAAAGCTGGGCGGGGGTGGGGGCGGGGTGGAGGGGGCGGAGGGAGGGCGGCCTCGGGCTGCGCCACGCAGTCGGATCCTGCTCCCTGGTCCCCTGCCCCCTCCGCGCCCGCCGGCCCTCCGCCCTGCCGGTGGCCCGCGGGGCACCAGGTAGGCAGAGCTGGACAGCTCCTGCTTTGATCTCTGGGCTCCAGTCCCTTCTACAGCTGCCCGGCTGCCCGGAGATCTGAGAACTCTGCCCACGTCGGTGTCAGCAGAGCTCTCCGACGTGTACAGAAGTGTTTCCAAACTTGGGAAGGGCGGGGGAGGGCCGGGGGAGATGGGGAGGGCGGAGGTATGCAGACAGCGAGTCAGAGTTTCCCCTTGAAAGCCTCAAAAGTGTCCACGTCCTCAAAAAGGATGGAACCAATTTAAGAAGCCAGCCCCGTGGCCACGTCCCTCCCCCCTCCGCTCCCTCCTCTGCGCCCCCGCAGTCTCCTCCCAGCTGTGGCTGCCCGGGGCCCCAGCCCCAGCCCTCCCATTGGTGGAAGCGCTTTTGGAAGCACCCTCGGGCCAGAGAAACTTTGGCCGTATAAATAGGGCAGATCCGGGCTTTATTATTTTAGCACCAAGGCGGCAGGAGGTTTCGGCGAAGTTGGAGGTACTCGCCACGACTGTATGCCTGCGCCCGCCAGGTGATACCTCCGCCGGTGACCCAGGGGCTCTGCGACACAAGGAGTCTGCATGTCTAGGTGGTAGACATGCTCAGCTTTGTGGATACGCGGACTCTGTTGCTGCTTGCAGTAACTTCGTGCCTAACAACATGCCAATGTAAGTGCCTTCAGCTTGTTTCGGGCAGTCCGGGAAAGAGGTTAGATGGGTGGGCACCTGGTCTGAAAAGGAAAACCTAACAAAGTTCTAGGTACAGCTTGGAGGGAAGGCTCTCTGGCATGTGGAGAAACGCTGGCATTTATGAGAAACATGGAAAATACTTTAGAAATGAAAACGAAAAAGGCTCGACTCTCGCCAAAAGTTAGGGAACTTTTCTCTCAACTCAGAGTGAACCTGTTAACTTGATCTGGATCCTCCAGTTAGTGAAGCTCAAAGGGAGCAGAAATCCTTTTCCTTAAGGATGAGATATTAACGGACATGATGAAGGAAGGCAGAGGCCTCAGCCTAAAAGGCCCCAAAACTGCACTGATGCCCACCTTGTGAAACTTGAGGCCTGGTTTGGAAAGCCCTTAATTTAGTAATAAAAAAACTCACCTCCTAAAGGCTTTTCTCTTCTGGGTGTTTTAAGACTGGTCTGGATGATGATGACGATGACGACGATGATGATGACGACCACCAGGCGCACTCTGGAGGGGGACAATGAGAGCACAGGGGTCCAGGGCTTAAGGTTTATGGAATCCCCATTTAAAGACTCCACAGGTTTATACAGAGAATGATCTGCATTTCTCACTGAAGCCAATCCCAATAGCTAGTCAGTGTATCCTGGGAAGAAAAATGGATACATTCTGAAAAGTAAAATTAGCTTCTCATTTCATTACCTGGTCATGGAAATGGTAACATTATTTAGCTAAAATCTGCCCTGCCTTTTGTTGAGCCAGAGTTATCTCTTTAATATGTTCCCAAAGACAGGCATTCTGAACATAGCAAGTTGGGAAATATCAACACTGATCTGAGATTCAGGAGACCCGGTTTTTCCCATGCCAATAATTTATCATGTGACCTTGGGCAAGTCAAACCGAGCCTTTTCTAAAATGCAGGATAGAAATTGGATGGACTCCAAGGCTGCTTTCCAGCTGTAGGTTTTATGACCAGATTTCCATGTTAAGATAGAATGAAGAAAATCAGTCTGGTTTTGCCTTGAAAATGGCTGACTAATTACCAAAGACACTGATTTGATGGGGTAAAGAGGGGGATCTGGCCACACCCAACACTCTAAAAGTTTGCTCCACCCACATGCCACGGTGTATTACTGATGCATTTGTGTGTGTATGTGTGTTTTCGCCCTTCATCCACTTTTAGTATACACACTGTGAATACTAAGGAATAGTTGTATTGAACAAATTCATATTATCGAGTTCATTTTTTTTAATGAGATCTGAGGGTGGCAGGGGGAAAGAGTTGTCTCCTAGAGAAAAGATGAAAATAGACCTAGGAAAGTTTGAAGGTACAAAGGGCAATTCACCTTCTGATCAACATCCAACTACAGTCTGAATAAAAGTTACCAAACACACATTCTTCAAAGTGGCTCAGTCTGAATAATTAAAAGGCAAATTTCCAAAATCATAAGAACTTCTGTTAATCAAGTCCAGGCATAATTATTCTTCCTACTGATGAACACAATGAAGTAAACATATCATTTTCCTAATTTAAAAGTAATTCTCATAAATTGCCCTTAAATGTCAGTGCTGGATATGGTCCACCCTCCTGAACTGTGACTGTTGCAGCAGCTGTTCCCACTCCAAATGGCACACTTCTTGGCCACCTAATTAAAGCAATTTTTAGGGGTGATTCATTTTGTTGCCAGCTTGGCCTTATATCCTGTGTTAACCTATAATTTTTATACCGTAGGAGAGGAATTCAGTCTTTAAAGGCTTATAGCAATTATGGCAAAGGGGGAGGATATTCCTTTAGTGTATTTTTCCCATTATTTTTCTAGATCTTTAATCCACAGTTTTTCCATTTATACAGAGCAATTCTTCCTCGGGGACAAAAGTGATACACATTGGTAAAATGACCTTACCTAACTTAAGTGAACCTATTTAAAGCAAAATTTCAGATGTCCGAATGAATCCATTTTCATGGTGACTTATTTGCAAATTAGACCTTTTGAAAAAGGACATTAAGAAGGTACAAACTCTGTAACGTTAACGTTTTAGAAAAAAACTTTAGGTAACGTACTTTCCTAAATTTCCCCCTTTTAAAATTTTTAAGTATCAAAAATTGTCTAATACAAATTATTTCCTCATCAATATACTGGTTTTGCTCATATTCAGTGATTCACCTGTGCAATATAGCATCTTAATTACTAAACATTAGAAGTATCCTTTAGACACATTAATATTTCACAGCAGTTATAAAGTAGTAAATAATTAACAATTTAATTCAAAATATACTTACATATTAATATTGAAAACAAATCATCCTGCTGATCCCTGCCATAATTTTGACGTGCATAATTTCTAAGTCATTAGAATATTCTTAATAAAAAAGACAATTTGTCCTTTAATTAGGTAAGTCAATTTTATAGACTAATATACCCATTTGTTAGTCACTGCTAGTGATCAATGAAATAATACTAATAATTATTTCTTTCTTTCCCCTTTCCTCTATAGCTTTACAAGAGGTGAGTAAAATTATTTTTTGAATTTGTTATTTTAGACTTTGATTGCCTTGGCCCCAGTAATGTCTTCTCTGGGGAAGGAAAAGGAGGCTGTATTGATATTGACCAACTCGAATTTCCAAAATAATCATCAGGAGTTATGGTAGTCAATCCTTTCTGGCTGCCTTAGAAAGTACCCACCCCAATTTCTGAAATGGGCGGGGCTACTGAATAAGACCACCCTAAAACGAACACCCATAAGAAAAGAGAGTAAATTATCCAGTGGAAGTTTGGGTTTTAGCATCAGCTGCTACGAACTAGAAGACTTCACCCAGCTAGAGAACTTTATTGCTCCCTGGGAATCACTTGCAAGATTATTATGAACAAATTCTTAGTTCATGAATTGAATTTGGGGCATAATTACAGATAAGTATATATCTGGATTCTATATGTATTTTATTTTATTTATTGGTAAAATTTTAAATTGTGCTTTGAGATATTAAGATAATAGTAATGCAAAATATATATACTCTGTAGGTATGTTTGTACACTACATGGAAATGGGAGCCATTTTAAAATTTATATAATCTTCCTCATAATAATCCTTTACTTATTCTTTTCTAGGCAACTGCAAGAAAGGTAAGAATCCAATACTTCTCCATAGTACCTGAAATGATCAGCGATAACTTACAATTTAACTAAATTTATGGTACACTACAGAAGGAAAATACTTTGTCAAGATTTTGCCCACATGAATATGCATTAGCTAAACCATAAAATAAAATAGCTTCGATGTGTAAGATAACAAAGCTTTATTATCTTCCAGAGTCATCTCTAATTATACTTATATTATACAACTGGTGATTTACATACTAAAGGAAAAGAAAAGACTTGTTTTTGTTCTGGAGATGGAATGAGTATTATGTTAATTATATGTGATAAACAAAAGTTTATTTTAAAGGGCTTTGACTATATAAATATGCTGTTATCGATGTTACAAAATGATAATTTTATCCACAGAAATCATCTTTCTAAAAATAGTGGTCATAATATTGGCCTAATGCTGGAGACTATAGCCTCCAATCTCCCAGTTTAAAAAAATTACATGTAATTATAATAAAAACAAAGTACTTTTGTCTATTGTACTGTGCCATTTTTATAGCCACTATCTAATAACATTATGGTTAGATCAGCCTTACCGACTAATTATTATCACGACTGTTTTGCTCATTCACTGGAAATTGCCTAGACATTTATTATTGTGCTGTTTCTACCTTCCTCATAGGGCCCAACTGGAGATAGAGGACCACGTGGAGAAAGGGTGTGTAATTTTTGAACTATTAAAGGGCTTTGGCCCATATTTTAATAACTACATATTAGAAACTACAGGAGACTGACAATTTATAAGGATATTATGTATCCAAATAATTGCCTACCTTTAAAGCAAATAATGCCTTACAGAAAGTGAATAAGCATTATTATATATAATCAATATTCTTTTTAGGTCAAGATTATCCTTTAAGAAAGTAGAACTATTACAGACAGCCATATTCTTTGCATGGTCTATCTTTCTTTGTTTTTAGTTGACCTGTCCAAAACATACATAATGGAAATATATCTACCTACCACCACATGGCCCTTCTCTTTTTAACATGTTTTGTTTGCTTTTCAAGTAAGATCTCTTATCTAGGCTGGGAATAATAGTTAAACAGCAGCCAACAACATGTTTCTGTCTAAATTAATAAATGTACAAGTTAGGCTTGCATTTTATTCATCGTATTCTTAGATCTCCTTGCTATGCTTATGTGGCAGGTATAACCACATGGTTTCATTATATGACACTTTCATCAATATATAAATACCTATACCTTGTATCCATCGAGAAGTGCAGACTTAAATGTATTCCACTCAAGCAATCTATTAGAGGTAGGGTTATGTCAGTAAATTACTTTAACAACATAAATAGTGTTAATGGTAGGAAATCTGCAGGATTTTCTACCCTGTGATAAAATAACTATTAATTATCATATCAATTAATCTGCTTTTCATACATAACATACCAAAACAATTGAGTAAGTTCATCAGTCAGAAACTGACAATCAATATACACAGTACATCACTGTGCACTGTTAACCATATGAATTTATAGCTATAAATTTTAGCTATAATTTTTATCTTCATCTGAATACTGGAGCTCTGTTATGAATTAATATCCAATGGCTGACATAGTCCTCTTCCAAGAGGAACTATCCTGTCTTGTGTCTTCTTCAGACACCTCCTTCTAAAATAGACCCATGTCAATAGTGGCAAATATGGCATTTTAAATTTCCACACCACTTGTACATTCTGACCAACTAATCTTACCACATGTATTCTGAGGTCTCCTTTAGGTTTCTGCAGAGTCTGTCTAACCCTGACTTAATTCACTTTTTACATAACAGGGTCCACCAGGCCCACCAGGCAGAGATGGTGATGATGGTATCCCAGGCCCACCTGGTCCACCTGGTCCTCCTGGTCCCCCTGGTCTTGGTGGGGTAAGGTGTCTTAAGTATCCTTAACTTTTAGCTAACTTCAGTTTCTTACACCTGTACTGGAAGAAGATTCATTGTGGAATTTATTTTTAGTAGTTTTAAGGGAGAGTCTGCTATTTGGATATTAGTATAGTATTTTATTTCATTTCTTTGGTTTCTTCATTCAAGATTCTGCTTTGCCCGATGTCTTTGTGAGCCCTTGTCAATTACAGGACAGGTCTTTGTGTTCGGGGAAGGTAGCTGCAGCCCTCGTGACCATTATTTAATTTGGGAATTTAATATCTTTTATCAGTAGGGCACAAATAAGAGGTGTTGCATTATTAAAAAGTTTGATTAGATTGAATTATAAATGAAATCCCTGATCTTAAGCAATTTCACAAACATCCTACTCTTTTTATTCTCCTTGGCTTGAAGTCTACTGAACCAACATTCAAAGCAGTTTTTGGTTTAATTTGCTTGAAACTAATTTGAGAAAAGTACATTTCTCTTTTTCATTAATATCTTCTTTTAGCTTTATGCTTTAACAATGGTATGAGCGCCAAATGGCCTCACTGCAGGAAGGAAAACATATTTGCTTAATTGGTTAGCACTATGAATCAGAAGCCTGATTCTAATACCCAACTGTATACCAGTAAAATAAGACCTTTCTCCCCCAAAGATCTTATTATGATTGCTTATCTACTGAGTGCATTAAAAAGCACCTTTCTTAATAGGTCTACCACTGTAAGAGAGATCTTTAACAGTAAAGCTATTACTGTGAACTATTTTTTAAAAGTTTAATCTTCCAAGGGGCATTTTAATTTAATTTTCCTCTAAACTTTAAAACTCTTTATATCCTTTTTGAAACTACAGCAAGAAAAAGGTCTCTTAGTCATTTTGTGTATTCATGGAGAAGCAGGGCAACAGGTAGAAATATAAAGTTGTTCTCTTGGGTTCTGCTTAATTTATCAGGGGCCCTCACTGACTTTTAAAGTTTAGAAAGCTGTCTTCCTCAGTGTACAGGTAGGGGGTGGGGATTTGAGTGAGAGGGTTAACAGGGCAGGAAAAGTTTCAAAAATAAGGTAGGGAAGCTCCCTATTTCAAACTAGGTGTGGACTAAATTTTAAACTTGTATCTCTCCTGAATTTTTAGGAATTTAGCTCAATATGGAAGTCTAAACTAATAATTATGTCAGAAATACTGCTTCCTTTTAAACAACAACAGAAAAATCTTTAGTAGAATGAGAAAATGAACTACATGGCCAATAGTTATTTATATATATATATATATATATATATATATATATATTTTTTTTTTTTTTTTCCCCATCTAGAACTTTGCTGCTCAGTATGATGGAAAAGGAGTTGGAATTGGCCCTGGACCAATGGTATGTTTATCTCTTTTTATCTAGCCAAAAAATTACTGAATAGAGAATTTACTTTATGTTAAATTTCACATTGCCATTTATTTAGCTACCTAGTTTAATACTCAATACTCAGATCAGATAAAAGCAGCAGCTCTCTTTGTATTCAAATCTATAAAAATCTAAGCCTAGGTTAGTGGGTTTGATTTTTTTCTACAAACATGCCTCCTTAGGATAGATCAGATATTTATATATCCAAGAAATAATCTCTGGACGTAGTAATCATAATTTAGGTAAACCAACTTAATTCAGAAAAGTAATCACTCTAATTTTTTTATGCACTTTAACATTGCCTCGAATTTGAAGCAACCCACAGAGACGCAGAACTATTAAGTTCTATAAACTTGCTGGAAAGGATCAGCAAGTTCTAGAGTAGCCCGTTCATTTTCTAGGTAGAGAGTTTAAGCCCTTTCCCAAGGTCATATATGTGGTTAATGACAGAATGCCAGGCAAGATGTCTGATATTCAACATCATGGCTCATGTATCCAGTACTTGAATAAAACATTACTTTATTTAACAAGTATTTACCAAGTTGGTCTTCGATAAGACCCAAACTATATTATGCATTTGGGATATAGCAGTGAATATGACAGATTCCCACCCTCCCTCAAGGAATTAACAACATAGGAAATGTTTCTTTTTATCCATCTTGATAAAAAATTCTTTTTTAAAGTCTAATTATAAATCAGTATAGGAGGGAATATGACTATGATGATGATGGTCTATCTTTAACAAGTAAACCTTCTAACAAGCATTAGTGAGATGTGTTAGGGGGAAAAAAAACTGATATGAGCATGCAAAATATATACTAGTATGTAAAAAATAGAGGGGAAAACTGCTGGAAATAAAAATGTTAAGTTGATTAAACACTGCAGTTTAGTACATACCCACACATAATTTAGTGATTTTTAATTAATTGTTTGCAAACAAAGGTATTTATATGCCCAAGTTAAGATAGTCTTTAAAATATAAATTTTACCTGGACAATGCATTCAGTGCTCTGTCTTCAAAAGATGTTCTGCTGGAGCTAATGGTTCGCAATAAGCTAATACACGGTAAGGGCAAGACGATATTTTCTGTAAATTAAAACTCTCACTTGAGAAGTAATATGCCGTTAATTGATGATTTCCAATTTCCTGATTTTGCATGGTAATTTAAAGCATTCATATCTGAAATGAAGAAGTAGAGATTTTCTTTTGGCTTTGTTTATATTGGATATTTGAAATCAGCCATTTCAGCTAATGCTGGACATTAGTCAGTTTTAAAGCAGTACCTATATCTCAAGAAGAAGCTAAAAAGAAAAAAATGTGAAGCATTAATTAAAAAAAAAAAAGCCTACATAAGCCTGGAAAATTAATATGGATTTCAGATTCCCCTGACTTTGGAACATCTCTCTGGGGGGCATATAGCACAGTGTTTTACTTTTAAATATCAGTGAAATATAATTTAAGCTTGCACATTCACACACATTCACAGACATATGTAATCAACAGATATGTTTCACAAATAGGAGAGGTAGGCAGCAGTAAAGCATTAAAATAAATTTCCATGTTGGAAAATCAATAACTATAAAACCCCACAGGGTCCTTCTCTGAATTAATGAATAATCATCATCCATCTCACAGCCTCCACAAAATAAACTACCTTTTATGTAAATGAAATTGTTGCAAATACATGGAAAAATGAATAAATATAATTAAAAATTCATGGTGTCAAGGAAAATTATTTTTAATGTACACCTAAAAATATTATTTTGATTGAAAAGTGACAGTTTCTTTTAACTTTGAAGCAATTTCTAAAACCAAATAAATAACTCATAATTAAGATGATGAGCTTTTTAATAAAATCCATATTATTTGACTCTAGGCATTAATACAGTGGGGCAGACTTGACTGCAGCGTCCCCATGCTTGATGTGTCGTGAACAAATTAACTGAGACTTGTCTGTGCAATATATTCAGCATTAGAGGAATGGCCCCTACAGAAGAGTTTGCACAGGCCTTGCAAAGGGGAGTCACAATGTGTATTTAGCTTCCAAACTAGTAACACTCTGTTTTATTCTGTGTGCTACAGAATGAAGAACAAAGGCAAGAACAACCTGCTGTCATTTGGGCCATATTTTCAATAATAGTAGCATATAATAGATTCTTCCAGTAGGATGTTTCAATAATATTTTATTTTTCCTTCACCCCTTACTATATCCACTTTTGTTTGACATTTTCATCAGTCACCAATAGCCCTTAAAGGAGTTGTAAGGTTATAACAAACCTCCCTCTAATCATTAAGAAAGACTTTTGATCCTTTTCAATTTATGCCCCTTGTGGCAATAAAAATATCAATTTCTTAGCTGAGTATGATATGAGATGACATATGATAAGGAAATCCAAATGGAAATGCTTCGTCAGCTGCATGAACGGCAGTTGTATATTCTGTACTGTGGAAAGACTGAGTCACTTCATTGCATTAGAGCAATCTCAATATGCCCAATTGTGCACAACTTTAAGGAACCTGTGGCCACCTCATCTAACTGAGTTCTGATTTGGATTAGGAGGGGCAAAGGTGAAAGCAAAGGCAGAGAAAACAGTGGAGGAAACTTGGGTCCTTAAATGCTTCCTCGAGAGGAACAAAAACTGTGAAATGAGACCAGGACAATTCTGTTCATTTGTCCATCACAAAACGTCTATGGCACTACTAAGCTAGTCCTGTCTAACCCAACCCTAGGCCATGACGACTTGTCGGTGCTAACTATATCTGTCCTCTTTACAGGGTTTGATGGGACCTAGAGGCCCTCCTGGTGCATCTGGAGCCCCTGTAAGTACCGAAAGCTTGTAATCTCTCTTATGTAAAAAAGACAAAGAATTAAATAAAGGCTTGCAATGTGACATACTGTTTTTTCTTAGGGCCCTCAAGGTTTCCAAGGACCTCCTGGTGAGCCTGGTGAGCCTGGTCAAACTGTGAGTACTTTTCCCCCTTTGTGATAAATATTTTTTTCAAGAAGTTTCTTAATATAGCATTAACAAAACAATGGGTCTCCCATTTTCCTAGGGTCCTGCAGGTGCTCGTGGTCCACCTGGCCCTCCTGGCAAGGCTGGTGAGGATGTAAGTATTTACTCGTAAGCATTTCCAAATGCCATTTAAATACTCCTGCCTCAACAGAATTTCTAGATTCAAATTAAGTATTCTGCCAAAAGCTGAATATGCCTGACATAATTTTCCCCATATGGATAATAACATTTTAATGAAATAATAATTAATTTTCTTGTATTTAAGGAAATATAATTGTTAATTAAATATATATTTGGATCCACATTTTTACATGATGCCTTTTTTCCCTGTTGTAAAAACCAAGATGCACCGACTATCATCTGACAGTTTACCAAGAAAGGGTTTACCCTGTGATGCTTTCATGTTTTAGGGTCACCCTGGAAAACCTGGACGACCTGGTGAGAGAGGAGTTGTTGGGCCACAGGTGAGATTTTTTTACAACAGTATATAGTCCAAACATCAGAGGTATCTCATATATAAGATAGTTGCTAAAACTAGAATCAGACTAAGTGGCAACATAGAAGTCATACTTATAACACTCACTGAAGGCATCTGACAAATAAAGGAGCCTAGTTAAGAATGCATACAGGTTTTATTAATGCAAATAATGTAATATTAATGATGGTGAGCATCCTTTAAACAGCTAAATTGTGTGTTCTACAAGTACCATAGTATTAGCTACTCAAATTAGAGCAACTTATTTGCTGCTCTGTGCTTACACATATACTAGTCTTTGATTCCAAGCTTGGACTTTGATGAGAAGAAACACTTTGGAGGGAAGAAATCATCGTCTTTTTATTTAGGACAAAAACGTCATTCGTCGTCTTCTATGTTTCTTTTTAAGGGTGCTCGTGGTTTCCCTGGAACTCCTGGACTCCCTGGCTTCAAGGGCATTAGGGTGAGCATACTCTTTACCCACAGAGGAGAAAATGTTGATTACTTTTAGTAAAAACCTCAACTATATTTAAACTCCTGGATGACACATATTTGCTTCCAAATTCCTGGAATTTGCCGGAGTGGAGAGAGAGTTAAAGGGTAAGGGGGCCGGAAAGTAAAGTGGGGTGTAGTTTTGTTTTTTTTTTTAAGTCTGTTCATAGCTTCCAAGAAAGGAGGATCCCTACAGGGAAAATGGTATAAAATGGGCATAACTTAAGAGGTATTTAAAGCCCTCTGAAGATCATAAAATTATTAATGATGGAAAGTACATGAGAGAGCATCTAGTTCTTTATCCTTCCCTTTCAAGTGTAGGGAGGTTTAGTGACTTACCTAGGGCAGCAGAGGGAGTTTGTTGGGAGCTGGGGCAATGGGACTCCATTCTACAGAAGCAGTCACAAGATTCACGCAGGAGATATTAACTGCAAAGATACAAGATGTTTGAGTTGACCAAACGCTGTAATGGAATAGCATTTTAATAATAAGGATTTGCCTTTCAGGGTCACAATGGTCTGGACGGGTTGAAGGGACAGCCTGGTACTCCAGGTGTGAAGGTAAATACTAAATCAGAAGCACTGTTTTTAAAAAAATTTTTTAAAAATTGATTGTAATTTCCCATCACCATCAGAAAGTATATTTTTACTGAAGGCTAATCATATTCTGAAGCATATCTTATTTCCTCTTCAATACTTTAAATCCTTCAGTGGTGAGGACTATGGGATTCTGTAACAAAAGGCCAATTATTAATAATATTTATTTAATTCAATATCTATTAAGCAATTGAGATTAAAAAACATGTCAATAATTTCTTCCTCCATTTCCTTTCCTCCTATAATTTTAGTCGATCTCTGCAGCCAAAATAAAAGTAAATAAACATATAATCAGATACTAGAACACTATGTTATTTTAAATAGTAAATTCTCCTTTGCCATGCACTAATTAGATGGGTACATTCATGTCACAATATACTTTTCAACCTCTTTCCTGTGATTTATCTGTGCACACTCAAAAAAATTTTAATTAGGTAATTAAAGTCTCAGAAGTGTGTTATCTCTTGGCTGGGCTCTTCTCTGACAGCATTTTCAACTATAAAATGTTCTCTCTCCTATTAAGGAGATAATGTGATATTAAAGTGAATACCAACGTAATCACAAATTAATGAGTAAGGAATACTAGTGGGACCAGAAATGAACATGAATATGGAGAATCCATTCTAACTTTCCAGCTGCCACACCAATGGATAAGGTCAAACTCATTCTCCCTGGAGCCTAATATAAGAGCTCAGACTACTGATCACAGCATCATAAAATGTTAGGGCTGCAAGGAGCTTTGGAGACCCTCTCATTTTGCAGATGAGGGAAACTGAGGCTTAGAGAGAGTGAGTGACTTGCCCAAAGTCACACATCTAGAAGTTAGAAGGGCACAGTCTAGAATTCCTGACTCCCACTCTAGTGCTTACTCACAAAGAATACACTTCAGATAGAATCCTAGAAATGAAGGGTCCTTAAATGGTCTCGAAAACCAGGTTTCCTCTATATCTAAATTAGATTATCTTGAAGGAAAGTTCCTTTTCATGTGCCATTGTATTAAATTACCACCAGCACCAGCATCACTACCACCACTACCCCACCATCACTACCACCACTACCCCACCAACATGGTTTTTACTCAAGATAAGAATGTAGATTGGAAAAACAACAACAAAAAAAAGAATGTAGATTGGAAGTAAATAAGACAGTTTTATAAAATATTATGAAGCTTTAATTTTTCATGCATATTTTATAAAAATAAAAATATTGAGTGTTCAAAATAACTTTAAAGAGGGTAAATATGGTTACGTTGAAAGCAATTTATCCTATCATCTCTTTTTATGTTATCATTGCTAATATATAAGCCTAGTCTAAATGATATCCAAAATCTAAGGGGAAAATTGGGGAAAGGGTAAATAACACTAGACCACATCTCCCTGATTTTGTGATATTTGGTATTATCTAAATAAAAACCCATATTTTATAAATTTTTTTAATGTATGTGATTGGCATAATTGAGAAACAATCTATGTAAGAAATGTTACAAAATATATGAATGGTTGAAGTTGAAGTAATAGTGTAAAAATTACCAAATCAGAAGAAAATAATTAATATATATAATGAAAAAAACTCAATCTTTCTTTTCCATGTAGGGTGAACCTGGTGCCCCTGGTGAAAATGGAATTCCAGGTCAAATAGTAAGTATTGATTACTTTACTGTAGATCAAAAATGTGTACACTCTTTGCAAGCTGGAACTTCTTTAATGTTTTTGCTAATTACCATTTCCCTTGGCATTGTATTCTTTGATTTTTTCTAATAGCCTTCTGCATAGTTAATTGAAATCATTACCTTTTAGTTGGAATTAGAACAAGACCTATTTATTTCTAGTGGATTCTTGTGCATGTTGGAAATTGGAAAAAGGAAATGATGCCTGTAACTTTTTCTTAAATTAGCATTCTGGATTTCAATGGAAATATTTCTGCTTCTAGGGAGCTCGTGGGCTTCCTGGTGAGAGAGGACGTGTCGGTGCCCCTGGCCCAGCTGTGAGTGCTTCCACGTTTGTTCATTTTTATTCTTTTTAAAAATCTTCTAATAGGTTCCATTTAACTTTCCACTTGACTTTTTTCTTTATTTTCTTCATAGGGTGCCCGTGGAAGTGATGGAAGTGTGGGTCCTGTGGGTCCTGCTGTAAGTGGTGACACTGAGGAATTTGGAAGGGACTGAGAGTGTGGGATGGGAGCTATGTTCTTTATTAATTCCCTATGAAATAACACCATTTTAGACACCTTACCAAACGTTCTAAGAGGTCATTTAAAGGTTCTATTTATAAGAACTACTATCCCTGAGGTTTGTAATTGATATATAAAGTAAAATCTACCTCACCTGGGATACCTGGAATGTCTTCCCTTCGATAACATAGCAATGACAACAGATTAGCTGTCAGTTTTCTCTTTGCCAACATTAAGTAAGATCAAGCCACTCTAAGCCACTTCAATCTTCTGTTGTTGTTTTGTTAATTTTTTGTTTCAATTGATGATCACTTTATTTAGGGCTTTTCTTTTTCCAATATCGTTTTGTAGGCTTTAGTGCACAGGTCATACTTGTATTTTGTTAAACATTCCACTAATAACTTGATTTTTTATTTTTATTTTCTTAACATCTTTATCGGAATATAATTGCTTTACAATGGTGTGTCAGTTTCTGCTTTATAACAAAGTGAATCAGTTATACATATACATATGTTCCCATATCTCTTCCCTCTTACGGCTCCCTCCCTCCCACCCTCCCTATCCCATTGTTTTGTTAATTCACTGAGAGGAAACTTCTTTCCACCTTCTTTGATTTCAGGGTCCTCTTGGGTCTGCTGGCCCTCCAGGCTTCCCAGGTGCTCCTGGCCCCAAGGTAAAAATGCTGGTGACCATTGTCATTACCTTGATAAACATTTTATTGTGATGTGAAAGATAGGGACTGTGTTTGCATATAGATAATTACAGAACAGGCAGCTTAATTAGTCCCTCCTTCGAAATGGATACAGACTGACCAGTTTTCTCAGATACAGAATGACCAGTTTTCTCACTCTAAACTTGAAATAGATGATCTCTCTGTACCCAAGCACTATGAGCATAGGTAGAGATGGCAACATGGAAACTGATTCCCTGGGGTTCCTCTGGGATACTCCCAAACTAGCTGGGACTGACTGGCTGAGAACCAGAGTCTCTACCAAGGGAGACAGAGGTAGGTGAAGACAGCAATGGTAGCCAAGATGGCAGAACCAGGCCAGGAAAATAGGAACACAAACCCCAACCTGTGGTACCAGATCAGATAAGGGAAATTATTGTAATTCTGAAGAACTTGCATAAAACTTGGCCACCTAAAAACAGAGATATGCTATTTCATTATTTGCTGACTAATGCCTCAACGTCATTCCTGTTTTTAGGGTGAACTTGGACCTGTCGGTAACCCTGGTCCTGCTGGTCCCGCGGGCTCCCGTGGTGAAGTGGGTCTTCCAGGTGTTTCTGGCCCTGTTGGACCTCCTGTAAGTAGCCACTGTCATTAACTTCATTGAGTAGAAGGAAGAAAACAAAAAGAATGAAGGTGGGGTCAAAGAAGACCAGAAATACTCCTATGAACCATATCTTTCTCCCTTCCTTTTCGTCACAGGGCAACCCTGGAGCCAATGGCCTTCATGGTGCTAAGGGTGCTGCCGTGAGTATATGCCTAAAATGTGCTGCTGTGGTTTTAAAGGTATTTTAATGGATGCTGTCTCTCCTGCCAGTTGCCTCATGAGGGACCATGCTGCGTTTCTTTCCCAGGGCCTTCCAGGCGTTGCTGGGGCTCCTGGCCTCCCTGGACCCCGGGGTATTCCTGGCCCTGTTGGTGCTGCTGGTGCTACTGGTGCCAGAGGACTTGTTGTAAGTGGTCATGGCTGATGCTTTCATCATTCTGAAATACCAGCTCTACCATCACTTCATCCCCATCTAGACTTCATCTTGTCGTCTTATCCTTATTTCTTCCTTAGCGTTTTCAGTGTGTATTTCTTCTGTAAGTTCAGGCACACTTCTGTATACTCTCTCCCTCACACACACACAGACACACCCCTTCTGCTATCCTAGAACATTACCCAAGGGTCAGTGAGGCACACTTCTATTATACCAGTCTTGTCCTTTCAACCAAGACCATTCCCCTGTAGGTCGTTTAAATATGAACTGAGCATATTTCTTAGAGAACTAAAGCTCTCTTTACTTTGATTTGTAAATAGCCCCTGATGTTTGTCTTCCAGAGAGTTGTGACAAATGTTTGTCATTTGACCACTGTTTTGTATTGGACCCTAGGGTGAGCCTGGTCCAGCTGGTTCCAAAGGAGAGAGTGGCAGCAAGGGCGAGCCCGTAAGTAGTTCTATAATCACAATTTTATGGAGTTACTACTTTTTCAATCCAAAAAGTAATACTTTCACTTTTTTTAAGTTATTACTTTTTTTTCTAGCTAGATATGAACACAAATTTTACTTTTCCTGTGACCCCTTCTTTTGTTTTTTCATTAAATAGGGTGCTGCTGGGCCCACAGGTCCTCCTGGTCCCAGTGGCGAAGAAGGAAAGAGAGGCACCACTGGTGAAATTGGATCCGCTGGCCCCCCAGGACCTCCTGGGCTGAGGGTAGGTTCCAAATGCTCTTGACACCCAGACACACCAGAGGCACCCATTCGTTGGGAATTGGTCAGAATTACTGAGTGCATTTCCTAGATGAAGGAAACATCTGCTTTCCATCTGCTTTATTAAATCACTGACTCTCAATTTGATATGTTATAAAATTGGTCTGGAAACAATGTTGACCTACTTTTGCAGAAGGTTTCCTCCACACAGTCCTTTGGGGTTTGGATGAAGTTTTTTGGTTTGGTTTGTAATTGTATCTCCCCCTTAAGGTCATCAAGATTTCTTGCATGCATGCCATGTTTCAATAACTTCTGCCCTACCTGATATAAGGATACTCTCCAATTCTTTTCTATTTCATGTACTTTGTTACAGGGAAATCCTGGTTCTCGTGGTCTTCCTGGAGCCGATGGCAGAGCTGGTGTCATGGTAAGTTGTCTATTACTCACATCCTGGGAAGGAACTTGATGCTTCTGGCCGTGGGTATGTCACTGGAGTTAACAACCTCCCCTCCCCTTTCTTTTTAATAGGGCCCTCATGGTAGTCGTGGTGGAACTGGCCCTGCTGGTGTGCGAGGTCCCAGTGGAGATTCTGGTCGCCCTGGAGAGCCTGGCCTCATGGGACCCCGAGTAAGTTTCAGATTGATTTTGAGCAAGTCACACCTAGCACTGTTTCCTTTCCTAAAGGGATGATTAATATTTGAAGACAACAATAAAAAAAATCAAAAATTAATTTGTTGGTAGACTTGCTGATGGTTCCCTTTTTAATTTAACTTTATCAAAGCCCAGTAGATATTTTGACGAATTTAGTTAGTTCATAAATTTCCTATTTATTACTTGATACAATGGCTGTGAGGTTTTTGGAAGAATAGATTTATTTTAATATATCCAAATTAGGTTGGTTCTCCTATCAGCATGAATCTTTTATCTCAATTTGTGAGTTTTATATAAGGTGTTCATGAAATATATTAGGACTATACATTATCAGTTTATTAGATTCATAAGTGAATCATTTTTCCAGCGATCACAAAGTGCTGTAATGTATTCAGCATCACACTAGCTATGGAGAAATGACCTTTAGATCTGTAGACACTCTAATCCATAGCAATAGAGTAATTTTTTGCCTCCATTATCTCTTACGGATGAGTATCAACTGTCATTGTACCATAAACAAGTAATAAAGACACCAAATATAGCAATTTAAAAAATCCACTTTGAAAATTACTTACTAAAAGTATTTGTTTTTCTATTCTAAGGTAAAAAAATATATACATTTTGCACATACAGTATGTTGCTCAACAGTTTCTTGAGATATCTTTAAATGGATCAGTTGCACTAAAATTCAGTAAAAGGAAAGGCATTAAAAATAGAAAGAAGAAAGTTTTCAGAGCTCTTTCATACCTCCCAGCTAGTGACTAATACCCCTAACGTTTTGCCCTAGCCAACAAACAAAAAGTGGGGGGAAAGTGCTTTTGTGAGATTTCAATTAATTGGAGCCTTGAGTATATGTGTTAGAGTGCCAATAGGAAAGCATCCTCATTTATTTTATAGGGTTTTCCTGGTTCCCCTGGAAATGTTGGCCCAGCTGGTAAAGAAGGTCCGATGGTAAGTATCGCTTATATTTTCAAGGACACTTATTGCACCCTTATCAAGTGTTTCCTGTAGCTTATTTATATGTGAACACATTGAAAATATATATTAGCCACATACATATCTGAGAATGCAAAGTAATAGATTGTAATTACAGAGTCCAAATGAACACAGGAGCAAAAGGAGAGAAGGAAAAAGAAAAACATGGCAGGGAATATTGAAGAGGGTGACAAGGGTATGAAAAGAGAGGAGAAAGAGGGAATTGTGTACATATGAGATTGACTTGGATGTGCATGTACTGACATCCTATTTAGAAAAGGAAAGTGGATTCATAATTTATTGTCACTTTATACAGGAAGCTCTATACAATCAGAAAATGATTCTGTTTCATCCTGTGGCAGCATCACAAGCTTGAGGTTGTGAGATCCTGTGCTGAGTAAACTTTAAATAAACTCTGGTTTCAGGGCCTCCCTGGTATTGATGGCAGGCCTGGACCAATTGGCCCAGCTGGAACAAGAGGAGAGCCTGGCAACATCGGATTCCCTGGACCCAAAGGCCCCACTGTAAGAATCACCAGAACCTCTTCTCCCTTGGCACTTTTTTGCCACATTTCACCAAAACTCTTATTTCTCTCCTGCCTCAGTCCACTCTACCTCAAGGGGGTTCCTTTCAACACAAGAAAACTGCAAGCCACTTACCACAACAAAAGTTGACCTCCAGTGTATCATTGTTCCTGCTGAAAATCCACATCTTGAGTCATATGCTCCTGCAGACATAAGTGTACTTTATTGTATCTGGAGCTGCATGATGATGGATCATGCCTTAAATAACAGAATTCAAGGACTAGGAATCTAAAAAAAAGAAAAAAGGCAAGAAATTCACATATCAAAATTGTCATGGTTAATTTGACATTAAATGTATTTTTTTTAATGTTTATTATAGGGTGATCCTGGCAAAAATGGTGAAAAAGGTCATGCTGGTCTTGCCGGTCCTCGGGTAGGTACTAACTTCTATGAGGCTCTATCCACATAGTATTCACATAGGATACACATCTTTTGAGGCCATCTGATATCATTCCATCACTTTTTTTCTAAGATGGCATCCCCAAGCTTCCTTTTACCATTACAAAATGTCTTTTCTCTTTAACCACACTTATAAGGCAGTGAGCTATGATGAATCAGAATGTATATTAAGTCAAAAATATTTATGGATGCATTTGGTTTTTATTTAATTCATTTTATGATTAAAAGGCTATGAATATGCTAGTAGCATTCTCTGACTTTCATAAATTGCCCTTCATCCATGGACTTCCTATGAGCCATATCGTAGGTAGTATTTGGGCCTTGGCCACAATGTGTTCAATTCATGCTGAAATAACAAGCTTTGTTGTGAGGAAGTAATACATGAGGGAGGCTTTGGGGTATCTTAAATTGTCTGACTTACAGGCAACTAACTCTGAGCCTTTCTGTTGAACATTTTAGGGTGCTCCAGGTCCTGATGGAAACAATGGTGCTCAGGGACCTCCTGGACCACAGGTGAGTATTTCTCTCACTCTTGCTCTATTTTGCACTAAAATGAATCTAGTCCCACAAAAATGGCCATCTCTTTTTTTCCAGTCTAAAAGTTATGTAGCTTGATAGCAATGGTGGCATATATCTCTATTTATGTAATCTTTCCTATCACTTTCAGGGTGTCTCAGGTGGAAAAGGTGAACAGGGTCCCGCTGGTCCTCCAGGCTTCCAGGTAAGTCAGCTAAAACATACAGACTACTGCTTTTGGTCAGACTCTCCAGCTGTAAATAACTATATAACACTCTCCCCACCACACAGTACCTGGTTTCAGAACTGAAGCAAAGAAGCGTACATTTTTTCAAGGCAAACTTTTCTGTAATCCTTTAATAACACATAATAGTTAGTGATCATGTTGATATTAGGTATTTCCCCAAAAAAACAATTATTAGAAAATCCCCCAAATATAGCCATAAAGATTGAGGTTTGTCTTTTTTCCATCTAGGGTCTGCCTGGCCCTGCAGGTACAGCTGGTGAAGCTGGCAAAGCAGGAGAAAGGGTGAGTAAAACAAGTGATAGTAAATTCGCCTAAACTTGGGACTTTCCCTCTGTTTAATACCCTACTGCAGTGCAATTATAATATGCAAAAGGAAACTTCATATTTCATATGTTAATGATAGTGTTCTACATATGTTGGTACTGATGGAGAGAATGAGCCAAGTTACTCATTTTCATTCAAATTACTTTGTTTTAAGGATTGAATGAAACATCACATTATGGAAGTACAATATCATGAACATTCCATTTAATAGCCTTACTTTTTGTATTGTTCTTGGTAATGTTAAAATACAAATTATTTCCCTCTCCATAGTAAAAAAAATAAATGCACTGATTTTCCATCAAACTAGACCCTGAAAAATTGCTTTTAGTGTTTTTCTTGGCATTCAGACATGACACTGCTATTCACAATCAGGGCATGAGTCTGAGTCATTTTTTCTGTAATTGTGATGAATGTGCCTCAATTCAGTTACATTCTGTGGCCTGCTCTCCTTTGTCAACAGTGGGGCACATTAAGGAGACAGCTGGTCAGTAATAAAGGAGATACACTTGGGTATACAATTAACTAGGTAATGTGCAGAATATGATCATTTCTATTAAGAAAGCAGTCTGTTATATAACTAAAAATAGGCAATGTCTGATATTGTTCATCATCATTATTTATTATATTATCAAAGGAGATAGTCTTTCTTCACTTTTTAAAAAGCAATAAACCAAATAATGAGAGACTAAAATTTTCTGATACCAGGTTCTAGGATAGATATATATTTAATATCAGTGAAATTCTCACTTTTTAAAAATCTTTCCATACACCACTGAAAGCTCTCTTGGTCCTAATAGCCTGTGTACTTATACACTCATGTAGGTAGAGCCTATCGGGCTTTACTTCACTCTCAAAACTTTTCTAAATATCATAAACATATGTGGATTTAGAGAACATACATAAGTTTCACACTTTATTTTTTCTCATGTTTTCCCTAGGGTATCCCTGGTGAATTTGGTCTCCCTGGTCCTGCTGGTTCAAGAGTAAGTGTTACTTAACTTTCATAAACTTCTCGCAATGTTTTTAAAACAAATGGTGCCTTCTCCTAAAAACTATTGGTGACCTTGTAACAGCAAATTCCTGACACTCTTCTGTAGTCAAACATAATCTGCAGAGAATATTCAATTTCTAAATTGACAGTAGACTTTTTATGTAATTGCTCATATTTCTTATTTAAAAACCACAGGATTATAAGAAACATAAATGAACTAATATAGGTATTATATTCAGTGATTTATACAAACAAGTATGATATATTTATGACAGTGGCTCGACCTGAGCTAAGGAAAAGTAATATCTTACTAAGATTTAAAATCAATTTTTCCAATGTGTGTTGGTGTTCAAAGTCTAAAAGATGAAATCATGAGCCTACTTTTATTTTAAATATTAAATAAATTGATGTCATTTGTCTGTGGTCATTAGAATAACTGGAAAGATTAGTTGGCCCCTAAAGTATATTGTTATGTGGCTAGTTACCATATAGCTAGGATGCCCAAACAAATTTACTGTCATAGAACCATAGTATCATAGAACCAAATTATAACAAGGGCCTTTGAAACAGTTGCAATGTGGGCTTAAATGTTAAATATTCTGGACCATAGAATACTATGTTGTAGTGATATTTACATGCAAATTGGGAAATATTTAGATAGATAGATAGAAAGATAGACACACATACAAATACACACATTTTCATACATGTATTCTCTCTTAACTATATTGTAGCTGTTACATCACTATTGCATGCAATTGTATAAAGAGAGCATATATATGAAATATCTAATCTTATTTACATCTGGCATTGCTATTCACCTAAAATGATGGTACTGTGCATAACTGGCATCTATTTTTACCTATGGACCTATCACAAAAAAAGGAAATGAATTCCAAAAGTTGAATATTACACTCTAAAAGCAACAAATTTTGGAGTTGTAGCCATAGAACGCTAGAGCTGAATGAGACATTAGAGATTATCTCATCCCATCCCTTCATTTTACTAGTAGAGAAATTAAGGGAAAAATAATTATAATTTGCTAGTAAACTAGGCATTTGGCAGAACTAGGATTCAAAAGCTAAACAAGTGTGAACTCTAATGTGTAAAATGGTATCTCTGAAAATGATGAACAGTGTAACACTTCTTCTAATCCCCTTTTCACAGGGGGAGCGTGGTCCCCCAGGTGAAAGCGGTGCTGCTGGTCCTGCTGGTCCTATTGGAAGCCGTGGTCCTTCTGGACCTGCAGGGCCTGATGGGAACAAGGTAAAACTTTGTTACATATTGCTGGTTTGGCCCAGTGTGCTCTAGAATAAGTAAATCCTTTACAGTAGTAAATGAATTGTTTCTCAGATTTTTTTTTAATTTATTTCCAGTTCTGTGATGATTTCCACCTCAGTAAATAACAATCTGATTCCAACTGACCTGAATTATTCCAAAAGAGGCAAAACCCCAGTGTTATACACACATAAATGAATTAGTATGGGTTTTCACTCTTTTCTCATCACACTATTTATACTTTTGTCTTAATCTAGAAACATCGTATACATTTGGACACTATTTTTAGAGAATGAACTTTTACCTTCCCAACGTCCTACTTCATAAAGTAAAATTTCAAAAAGTAATCTAAATTTTAATAAGATAATTTTATGATGATAAAAATTAACTGGACAGTACATTCATCCCCAAAACATAAGCCTGAAAACTTGTGTTTCAAAATAGAATCTGTGGTTTAGATCTTAAAATAGATGGAATTACACATTTCTGAAAAACAGATTACTTCAACCACAATAAAGAGAAGGTAACATATTACTTCTGATTCTTACCTTTAAAGGGTAAAGATTTGCTATAAAAGGCTATTTTGGTATATGGAAGGATATTGGAAAAAATAAAATAAGGTTAGAGGGAGAGAGGAAGTAAGAAAGGAAATATTGGTTCTGTGAGAAAGTACTTTCAAAGGGTTTTATCTCAGGAGCTAGTCAACAGGTTTTAAGTATGTGGAATTGTAAGGTTTTATAAAAAAATGGAAGCTATAGTCCACACTCTTAAGAAGATTAGAATGTAAACATCTCCCCCGTTGATGAGGTCTCTTTCCACATTTCCTGTCTGAGCTAAGAGACTTCACCTTGAAAAACGTTTGTGGGCATTTTTCACTCTCTGCCTTCCATTGTCGTACCCTCTTCTCTCCCCTGCCTGACTCCCTTAAGAGGACTGGGAGCAGGTTATAGGAAAATCACAGGCACCCATCCTACTACCCTCTTCTCTTTAGTCACTGTGTCATTAACAGCATCTTCCTCGGTTATATTCTCCCTCCTTTCAGTAGGCCTCCTTTGTGTCTAAGCAGGCGAGCATGCTATCCATTAAATGTTTAAATTGGAATGCTTCAAGAGTTTGGCTCTTCATTTTCTTCTTGTACCACAGAAATAACTGATTTCACATGTGTTTGATTCAAGGGCGAACCTGGTGTGGTTGGTGCTCCAGGCACTGCTGGTCCATCTGGTCCTAATGGACTCCCAGGAGAAAGGGGTGCTGCTGGCATACCTGGAGGCAAGGGAGAAAAGGTAGCCTCTCAGTGTTTGACCTCAATACATATTGTTGATGAACTCTCACAAAGAAGGCTGTGCAAGGTCAACCATTTTTTTTTTTTTTTTACAGTTCTTGGCAGGTGGTCTGGTAGCATTTTGATATCTATCTGTATACATTTCCCTCTGCCACCTAGCACCTACGCATTTCTAAACTCACTAATCTGGCAAAATTCTTTGCTACCGTGGAATTTCACGCAAACAGATGGTGTTGAGTAATACATGAGGCTCATTTTAATGCCACTAACAATAATGCCTCAGCCTGCCCTAATTAATGGGAAGAAGCTATATTGAACAGCTGTCAACCGTGCTGCTGCATTAGTTATGCCGTAAGAGTGATCAGGCACTGAAGCCCATTGTGATGTTGCCTTATAATTCTGTCCACATGAATTTGTACCTTGCTTGATTACGCTTCAGGAGGGTGTATGGAAATTAGAAAAGAATATTTAACACTAATCTGGAAAGGGCCTTGAATTATTTTTTCCTCATTCAATATTTTATAGAATGGTAGGGAATCAAAACATTACTAAAGATCTTAAATGAATAAAAGTATTATAGCATCTTCTGTAAAAACACTGTGGATTAATTTTGATTCAAAAATTTGGTCAGAAAACAAACATTTGCTCTTGCTTTTTACTTTCAGGGTGAAACTGGTCTCAGAGGTGATGTTGGTAGCCACGGCAGAGACGGTGCTCGTGTGAGTAGAATTCTGTTGGTACTCAGATTGTTTTGTTCTGTTTTGTTTTGTTTTACATTTCACTCAATTTGAGTTGAGAAGCTTTCCAAAACTGAACTGACAAAAGAGGGATTCAAGTTTTGTAAAAGAGTATTCCATTCCTTCCTGGACCTATGACTAATAATATCAGTTTACATGTTCCAAAAGAAAAATTCAAATGAGGACTTATCCCCTTGAAAATCATAGCCTGAATTTTCTACCTTCCTTAGTGTTAACTATACCAAGTACAAACTACAGTCCAAAATCTCTAGGTTTAATAGAACATTAAATGATTGTTTATCATAGGGCTTTAGAAAAAACAATAATTCTTACATTTTAGGAAGCCAGAACCTCTAATAAGGTCCTGTTTATTCAAATGTATACCCTAAGAATTTATCACTCAAAGAGCAGCTCCAAAGATTAACTGTTAATGCCATGGAGATGCCAATGATAATCCCATAAAGGTATAATAATCCTACCTAGAGTGTTGATATCATGGCTCTTCCAGGCCATAAGCCACTTGGGCTTTTCTCACCTCTTCCTCAGGCCTGATAACTCCCTGTGGCACATTCATCATATCCTTTCTCCAACTCACACAGTCCTCACAGTTCTTAGCAAGGCTAGTCATTTGCTACTCTCCAGGGAATTTTACAAGAGCAGAGAGTTCAGATCTCCCCAGTGTGCCTAGCCTGCCCATGACTTAGTTCCATAACCTTCACCACTAGGGTACTCTCCTCCTGAGAGTGGCTTCTAATAGTCTTGATAATTAGAACTGAAATGCTTCAAAAGCTTTCTTGATGTCCACCCAGAGTGTTCAGTCACTGTATAAGCACAGCAAGGGGAAACAGCAAGGGTCACTTTTGATGGTATGGGGGTGTTATTAACAAGACTTGTTTTCTTTTTGGTACTAGGGTGCTCCTGGTGCTGTAGGTGCCCCTGGTCCTGCTGGAGCCAACGGGGACCGGGTAAGCATGCATTTTCACTGAGTTGCAGCTCTCTGAGCCAATGGCGGTATCTAAAATTCCCTGCCACCCTGGCCCCAAAGGGCCCTGGCAATTCATTTTTATGGCTTGGTCTAAAGCCCATTGATTTAAAAACTTATCCATTAGTATGGGGCAGCAAGAAACAAACGCTGTGTGTTGAAACGTCTCTTTCCCTTCCTATACACCTGCCAGGTATCTGATCTATACTTCAATCCCTATCATTTGTTTTAAAGTCTTTTAAAGTCTTTCGGGGTTGCCCATTAACAATATCCTAATGCACTGAGCCTTCTTGAAGCCTTCATTGTAAAAAAAAAAAAAATCAATAAAATACATAGTGTGCCCATTTCACATTGAACAGTCCACTTAAAATAGACCTTATTTATTGTATAGCACAAATTGCAGCAAATAGATCAGCCCTGTGTCCATCTAAAAATTAAAATGTCCTCCTCCTGGTATTGTGGGCACTGATTTATAGTGTTTTGGCAAGTGTATGACCAATACCATTTCACCCTCCAAAATTAATACAATATTATGCAGAGTAAGAATCCATTTCACTTTTCTCTGTGAGATGTGAATTAGTTATCTCTTTGGATGCAATTGCAAACTCTGGCAAGAGCCCGCTGTCTACGCCTGTTCCCTCTCCCTCCTACCTCTTTGAGCGTTTGTGTGAGGAACACTGACAAACTCATTTTTGGCCCCCTTATAGGGTGAAGCTGGTCCTGCTGGTCCCGCTGGTCCTGTTGGTCCTCGTGGTAGCCCTGTAAGTAAAAACCTGGGTCGTTTTAGACACTCATAACTTCTAGACACTCATGAATCTAAGATTGCTAAGACATTTTAAAAATCCCTTTTCCCACCTAGGGTGAACGTGGTGAGGTTGGTCCCGCTGGCCCCAATGGATTTGCTGGTCCTGCTGTGAGTATCATGTGACACAGGTCAATCTGAAAACATTCCAAGTTAGCAAGTAGAGTAAGTTGGAACACCTGAACTATAACTGTTCCTTTCCAACAGGGCGCTGCTGGTCAACCTGGTGCTAAAGGAGAGAGAGGAACCAAAGGACCCAAGGGTGAAAATGGCCCTACTGGTCCCACAGGCCCCGTTGGAGCTGTTGGCCCAGCTGTAAGTTGAATTCACTGATGGTCAACACAGCCTGTGCAGTTACCCATGAAATCTTATAACTCAACATAAATCAATCAAGTGCCTGCTATACATCAGGGAACATACCAGATAGGAGACAATTTTAAAATAAGAGTTAACATTTGCATACCACTTTACACATTATAAAAGTTTCATAAATATTGTTTTATCTCACTTCTTTGATTACCCATAAAGGTGGTAATATTGAAGTAAGGACATTTATTTTATATAACACAGATAATCATTTTACATTTCTAGATTTGATTCTAATAGACATGGGAATGATCCATTTGAAGAAAAGAGTAACATTTATAAAGATTGTTTTCCGATTTGACCATCTTTTCTTGTTTCCATTTAGGGTCCAAATGGTCCCCCTGGTCCTGCTGGAAGTCGTGGTGATGGAGGCCCCCCTGTGAGTATTTACAGTGTATTCTGATAATTTTTCTTTCTTCAGAATCTATTAGGGACAACTTGAAAGTTTGGAAATTTTTGGTAATTTGGACTATAATGAGAGTCTTGAGAGTCAAGCTAACTATTTAAAGAAATTCTGATAATGAAGTCAAGATCAGATTCATGGAATGTTAACTTAATCCCAGCTGGAACTCAGCGCACTGTATGTTGCTACCACTCCACTTGAGGTAGTGATAACCAAAGTTAACCCCAAGTAGTCTGTGAAATGGGTAAAATATTTCTTTGGTACCTTTTATCATTTTGTTGATGCCCCCCTTCTTCTGCCTGATTAGGTCCCTTCCCTTGGTGTCCAGTGCTATCACACTGACTTCCTAGAGACCCAAAGCTCCCCAGGAATCAACTCCACTGACTTCTTCCTCCTCTCATTGGACAGCAATTAATACCCTTGGTCTTTTATTATACCTTCTTCTGTAGACAAAATTACTTACTCAGTGTCCATTCCCTTAGCAGCCAGCCAGGTGGTTAAGTTATTAATATATACAGATCATATATAATAATAGTATAGTGTCTTGTCTTCTTGCTTTTACAACCATCAGGCAATATGTTAGCATTTCAAAAAAGAACTATCAGAGTCTTAATGCAAAATATAGGCATTGCAACTGGGGGCATGCTGGTCAGGAAGCTGTGTAGAGATGGAGGGTCTTCGGGGTCCTGGGTATATTTAACATAATACCCTACCTGAGGCTGTCACTGCCTACTCTTTGGTCCATCCTTGGTCACGTGTACTGAGGATTTTCCAAGGGAGAAATTTCCATCTTACCCAAATTCCTGGAGTTGGTGCTGACTGTGGAATTTTAATGTGCTTGGTTCTTAGGGTGCTACGGGTTTCCCTGGTGCTGCTGGAAGGACTGGTCCTCCTGGACCCTCTGTAAGTAAATCACTTCAAAATGTGTCTTCATTTATTTACTCTAGCCAAAATCCCTAGCCTCTAGTAAGAAACTGGTAAGAAACTCCCTATGAAAAACATGCTACTAATATTTTGCTATTACTTTCCTAATCTGAAATCAGTTTTTCTGAATCATTAAGGCAAAATCATCAGAAATTATATTAGAAATATCAGTTTAAGAGGCTTTTATTCATGTGAACATAAGTCCCCTTGTCCCCTTTTAGGGGCATGGTCTCTTTGTTAAAAATAAAAAACAGAACAGTTTTAGTCACATATCAGATATTTCTATATCTAATTACCCTTTATGGCCAACATTCTGCCTCCGTTGTTAAAGTATAATTGTTCCTGAATTTAAAGGTGGTTTGGCCTCTAATTTAATTCTGATTCAGACTCTCCTGTCAGGACTCAAGAGAATTTAATTAATTACAAAGGATTAAGTCTTCTGGTTAAGGTTTCAGGGAAAAAAAATAGCGAAGATGTTGATTTCTTGGAATCCTTTCACAGGTTCATAACAGAAAAATCTTCATTCCCTGTAGGCATTTAATTAAACCTAGTTGAGAGCATATGTGATTCCTCAATTATGAGCAAAATGCCTGTATTGGCTTTCTTCAAAAAGAAACAAGCAGAGTCCTCCAAAACCCAAATTCCCATTCATTTACAGCTAGCTCTTATAACTCGACATAGTTCTGATTCCAGTATGCCAGGTGGCTGGTGGTACAGCATTGCTTTTTCTCACAGACATTTGCCGTAGCTTCTGCCTCGGTTGTTCACTTTATTACAGCCCCAGGAGAGGAAGATGAAAGTTGCTTCTTTCTACAAGAAAGACTGTGAAGACTTCTAAACATTTCTCCAAAATGACCAGGATATTATTTTGTTGCTTCAAGTTGTTTGCATCTTAATATTTATAACCTCAGCTGCTCTCTCCCATTCTGTGATGATTAACAGAAAGTAAATGACCTCATGTATTTGCTCACAGGGTATCACTGGCCCCCCTGGTCCCCCTGGTCCTGCTGGTAAAGAAGGACTTCGTGGGCCTCGTGGTGACCAAGGTCCAGTTGGTCGAACTGGAGAAACAGGTGCTTCTGGCCCCCCTGGCTTTGTTGGTGAGAAGGGTCCCTCTGGAGAGCCTGGTACTGCTGTAAGTGATTTCAAACTCCTCTTTCTTAATACCTTGCGTTGAATTAATATAAATCCCTTGTACAAACCTTCAGGTGGCATATATTTGTTGATGAGTATTGCGGGCTCTCAAGTAGAGCTCAGTTGAGCCAGGAAGTCTATCCAACAGATACTGAGGTGTCATGGCTTCAGCAGATGCTCAGAAGGCACTAGATGGAGATGACAATAAGTGAGGGAACTCACTGTTTTATCAATACAGCCCCTTAAGCTGTTGTGAGAGTACCTCACTGGTACTGGGATTAGAACAGCATCCCATTGCTCTGGTCACTCTACTGTAAATTAATCAATATCAGTAAGCTACCAATTTTTTAAACATGCAATGTGCAGTATTATTGCTACTCCGAAATGTGACTTTACTAGACCTGGTGCAGTTAGAGGCCAAGGTCAAAATTTGCTTCCCAGCATAAATTCTATAAGAACTCTATTCCCTCACTCCAAGATGGCTTCATTAATCCCAACCACATATTTTTAAATGTTGTTCCATTGGTCTCAAGGAGGAACCAGGTACAAAGAAATAAACATGCCAAGACGTAAACTCATTGTCTTCACTAGAGAAAAGATAGCCAAAGATATGTTCTACTAATAGGAGGTCATTAGCCTTTTTCTAAACTGAGGATAAACTCATTCTCAGAAGCCTCAAGCCAACCTGTGTTGTCTCCTAGGGTCTTACAGTAATACTCAGTATTTTTACTGTTGTTTAGGGATCTCCTGGCACCCCAGGTCCTCAAGGTCTTCTTGGTGTTCCTGGTTTTCTGGGTCTCCCAGGCTCTAGAGGTGAACGTGGTCTACCAGGTGTTGCTGGATCTATGGTGAGTGTTTGACACCATTCTTATTCTCATTAACATAAGAAAAGATTTAAAAGCTGCCACTTCAACTGTGACAGATTGATCAGTGAATAACTCCACTTAAGATTTTTTATTCATAGCATTTTCTTTATACAGATCACATGTCACTTATCTAAGAAGCTTTAATACCACCTTACTTAGACACATGCTATAAAGACACAGCTTAACATTATGCAGAACAATTTTTGTTCTTTTTACATGCTTAAAAACGATATAAGCTCTAATTGCATTTACTCCTCTGCAGTATGAAATGCTAGCATCCTCTATCCTGTAGAAAGAATGAAACTCTAGAAGTTCTGAATCATTCTATTAAACCTAATACATGACAGCAACTAGGAACCATCTAATCTCCGTAAACTCTCTCAACTTTATGAATTCATTTTATTTGGAAAATCAGATGAAACTAGACTCACCTTGTACAGAGCAACATTCCAAAAGTACATAAAGCTGACCATCCAAGTGTGTAGGAGAAAGGCAAAGATGACACTAATGACACTTCTTACCATTATGTGGCCCACTCACTTTCAATCTACCTTCTCGCTTAAACCTGGAATCCCCTGGCTAACGTTGTTTTGGGAGAATGAGTGGCACTCAATCCAGTAAGAGGAGTTTTGTCTTCTCTGCCTCTTTAGGGTGAACCTGGCCCTCTCGGCATTGCAGGCCCAGCTGGGGCCCGTGGTCCCCCTGGTGCTGTGGGTAATCCTGGCGTCAATGGTGCTCCTGGTGAAGCTGGTCGTGATGTGAGTCCGCCATTTGGTTTGTAAAATATAACCTAGCAGTACTTCCTTGTGTGTAACTTTGTATCCTGAGCTGAGGTCTACATGTACTCACCACTCCCAGTATTGACAATCCTAAAAATAACTTGGGCTAGGGAATGAGTCTTTAAGTAGCATACTTCAAGTTGGCCAAAATATTTTTTAAAAAATTCTATAAAAATCTAGGTTGGCAAGTTCTTGTTCCTATTTTTAACAGCCTGAAAAGGGGGTTCTCTATTGGGCACTGGGAGTAATGAAGGCAGATAGCTGAACTGCAGGGGTCAGTGAGCTACAGAGCCTCCCTAAGCACCTTAATTGGCATGGTGTCTTCACAGGGCAACCCTGGGAATGATGGTCCCCCAGGCCGCGATGGTCAAGCTGGACACAAGGTCAGTACACCTCACCGTTGTTCTCTAACTTAAAAGGGACTAAACTACAGGCCGGATTGATGCTAAGCTTCATTTCTGCCTTCGGCAGGGGGATCGTGGTTA